TAGTTTCCCGGGTCCTCCTTCTTCCCCTTTTTGAAGATGCTGTAAGTCTTAGGCAAAAATAATGCAAGGGAGCAGAGGAATTTCCCTCCACTTTCTGGGCTATCCCTGAGACTTGCAGCAGCTAAGACAAGGAGCTGGGGAGGGAAAGACTTCTCCTAAGCTTCTTGGGGCTGCCCAGAGCTGAGGGACCCTGGGTTGGGGTGAGGGAAGCCCCCCAAGATGGGGGCTCCCCAGTGCCCCTGTGCTGTGTTGCATGGGCAGGCACCCAGCTGGGAGGACTTCTCCCTCCTTCCTGGTGCAGCTGCTGAAGCAATCAGGAGTTGGGAAGTGTGTGGGGGGAGGGGAAGAATTCCCCTCAGCTCCCCAGGACTGCCTGGCCTGGGGAACCCAGGTTGGGGGAAACCTCCTGAGGGGGAGGTTCCCCCAAGGAAGGCAGCACCCAGACAGGGGGATCCTTAACTCCCTGGTGGGGGGGAGGGCAGCAGGGGTTTGGGGACACTTGGTTGAGTTGGCAATGTCCCACAGGCTGGGAGATGTGCTCTAGTGCCCCCTGCCTACTGGTCTCGGCCAGTTGCAGGCCTCTTCCTGTCTTTCCCAATTGAAAGCCGATTGTCAGTTCAGTTGGTTATTAGTTCAACCTATGCAGCTTAGGGAAAGCTGCCTAGATTGAACTGATTCAGCCTCAGGCTTTTTGACTGTCTGTACTTAGCCACAATGTCACAAAATACAGCTTTGGCCCACTGAAAATGTTTACCTGATTTCTCCTGTTTAATTTTTACATGAGGAACAAAGAAATTGGCTCAAAAAATTTGAATGATAAAAATGAAAGCAATAATACACACACACACACACATAAATGTATCATCAATGGCTGCTTACAAACATTAAAGATAAACAAGAAAAGGTGCTTTACTTTAAACTCAGTGTGCTCCTGCACCAACCCCAACACACGCCCAGAAGAGGTATCGTGTTAGTCAGACTTGGCTTACCCAACATCTGTATAGATTGGCTGCTTTAGTGGGGCTTTTTTGGAGCTTTTATCTAATACCTGACTGAATCAGCTATTAAATAAAAGTGCCAACAAGCCATACTGAAGCACCTGATCTATACAGATGCAGCGGAGCCGGGTCCAACTAGTGCACTGCTTTTCCTGGTAAAGCAAGTTTTTTTTTTAATTGTTTAATCTCTGTAAGCAGCCAATCTGACCAACTAAGCCAAATTCTGAAGAGAAGCAAAACTTTAGCTTTGGTTTTACTACGTCATATTTACTGATCACAAATTCGTTGTGGGACTTGTTTCCTTCTTCTGCATTGTTGTATTAGAAAAGTTATCAAGGATAATGCTAATAAGTACTATATTTATATTCAAATTTTAGGTTGTGTGGAAACCTTAATTGTAACATGAAGAAGCATTTAGTATGACATCAAGAAGCATTTAGTATGACATCAAGAAGCATTTAGTACATGCTTAGATTTCCTGTGGTGTTTATCATTTAAATTCAGAATAGTGGGAAAATACTATTGACACCATTAAGTTAGCTTGTGTGTCAGCCAGATTTCTGAGTTGTTAATGAGAGCTTCTGTACTTCTTTGCAGGGAGTCAAGGCTTGTGTGAAGTATTCAGTCTAATCCATTGGTGTATGTAAATCACAGTCTCCCAGATTGGGCCTCACATTACAAGGTTATTCCTTGTTTGTTTGTTTTTTCCAGTGGTGACCTGAATCCATCCTGCCATGTCTTGATGTTAAAAGGTTTATACTGGGAGGGTGTAACTTAAACACCACTGGGTGATGGGGTACTGATTAATTCCCTTGAGGTTTTGAACTTTTTCATAAAACGATCCGGTAGACCATAAAAGATGAAACTCACAGCATGCTCTTTATGATAAGATTCTTTTTATTAGGTATCTATCTCACTTTTTTCATTTTTTTCTCTAGTTTCTTGGGTATCATGCCTTCAGCAGTGGAGGAAATGACAGAAGCCTGTTCCCCAAGCTACTGATCAAAGACTTCTACAGTGGAGGTAAGTATAATATCCAATACCTCTCTTAAAGCATCCCAAAATAAACTCAGGTAACATCAATAAAGATAAGTTTTGAGTACTTTGGGCTCAATGAGCCTGATTTTTTTTTAAAGGTATAAGTCCAACAAAAAAGGTGTCTTCTTCTTTAAGCATACTAAACAGTATAGGGCTTATTGTCTTTATGGTTCACCTTTCTAATGATGCTTCTGCCCAGCCCTATCTAGTTATACTGAAAAAAAAAGAAGCATTGTACTTGTCACTGTGAGGCTCAGCCACCTCTTTCTGGCTAGCCCTCTGCTTTCTGGAGTTGCATCTTTTCCCAAATCATGCTCCCAGCAATGCTTCTTCAGCCCATATCTCCCAGCTCAATGCTCTTCTCTCTCTCACCTAGCCAGCTGACAGCTGACTTCTCCTCACCCCCACTGTCCCAATTGGCTCTCCTCATGTTCCCCCACATCCCGACCCCTCCCTTGTTTTCATCCAGGTCTCTCCCCTCCTTTCTCTCCTTCTGGGACCACTCTATCTTCATCGAGCAGCTGCTCCAGAAATGAGGCTCCTTCTTTTCTTTGAGTGGTTCCTGCCGGTTTTTGGTTTGTGCCGTCGCTGGCTCTTTCTTAGCATGACAGCTTGATTAGATGGTCTATTTTAAAGGATTCTTTTGTGTGTAGTTATTCTTGAGCTATTGAAAACCTTGCATAACTAAACAGTAATGTGAGGTACTGCATTGCCATCCATCAAAGACAACTACGTTTTACATCTCTATTTCTATTACATCTGTATAGATGCATTGTATCTGCTTCCTCACTTATAAACTCATTTCTTTTATTACTCCTTTAAAAGTGTTTAATATAAAGACTAGCAGTTGTATCTCAAACATTGATATCACTTATATTTTAATGCTATGAATTGAGTAACATGTTAAAAAGTGAATCCTTTTTATTCTCCCTTGTAATAGGCTTGCCTCTGTTGAGTTGCTTAAGTAACACTATTGCTGTACCTGTGATGAATCCAAAACGCAAGAGGATCTACTAAGGTAAGAACTAAAATCTTAGCTTTTGGGATTGAGTAAATGCTAATAAATTTATCATAGCTTTATACTTGTTCCATACTAAATCATTCTGGGTAGTCAAATCCCAAGCTGACAGCGAGAAACTGCAGAAAGACTTCACTAAGCTAAGGAACTGGGCAAAAATAAAGTCAGATGAACTTCACTGTTGACAATGTAGTGGGAATTTGGACAAACGACTATGCAGGAGTATAAGAGTATTGCTCAGACATGCAGGGGTGAAATCAGGAAGGCTGAAGTACAATCAGAGTTGCAGCTAGCAAGAAATGTGATGGGTAACAAGTACTGGAGTACTATGAAAAAAAACCCTGTTGTGTGTAGGGTTTTTGGTTGTACCCATGTTGGTCTAAGCACACAGGCAGGCAAGGTTCTTTGGGTAGATGTGATATTTTTTATTTTTAGATGGGATATATCTTATATTTCCCTTTGGCTTTTTTTCCCTCTGCTTTCTTCCCCCTCCTTCCTCTGCTTTACCTTCTATTTCTTCTTTCTACCTATTTATATTTTCATTACATCCATTCACACTTTGAGTTTCTCTCATTCCTGCTTTCCTGATTTCCAACTATTTTCTTTTTTGCTGACAGCTTCTTTTCCAGCTTGTATTCTATCACTAGAATGTTTCCCTTTTTAGCTTTTTCCCCCTGCTCTCTTCCCCCTCCCCTCTCTGCTTTACCCTTTGTCTTTCTAATTTCTACCTTTTTACATTCACACTGACATCCTGCCACACTTCTAGCTTCTTGCATTTCTTGGGAGTCTCAGAACAGCAGAGACTCCCTATGCCTGAAGAAGGGTGACTGTGCCTGAAACCTTGCTAAGAACTTTTTACCAACTACTCAGTTGGTCTAAAAAAAGATATCAAATCTACTCAAAGATATTTGCTTGTTGTGTGTAGGTTCTCCTGATTAACATATGCCTGTGTTTCATGAACTAAGTGATCACTAGGGCTATGCAAAGTTTTGGCGGGTGTTTCGTTTCATTTCATATTTGGATATTTTGGTGGCTGAAACACCAAATCCAAAATAAAATGCAAGGCTCCTAAACAGCTCTGAAATGAAATGGGCTATCCAAAACATTTCAGAAATGTTTTGAAACTATTTGGATGTTTCTGAAACATCTGAAATATTTTGAATGTTTCCATAATATCTGAAATGTTTCAGATGTTTTGAGCTGTTTCAGAGCTGTTTCAGAGGTGGGCTTGCAGGGAAACAGAAACTAAGAGGGAGAGGGAGGAGTGGGGGGAGGGCTGCTCTGATATTGTCATCTATAGCTGGCCAGTGACAACAATCTGTCCCTGAGGTCCCTTCCAGTCCCAGTGCTCTGGGGGAGGAACAGAGAAGGAGCATAAAAGGATGTTTGTGAACTGAGTCTGCCATTTTGCAGCTGCATCTGTCTGTGCCGCAGCAGGAGCAGCAGAGACTGAGCGCAGCATCTGTAAGTATGCAGCTTGGTAGTGCCATGCTATCAAGTTGTAGCCATTGCCAATCCTTGTCTATGTATTTACCCTTGCCTACACTTCCCCTAAAATCCTGCTATTTATTCTTATTTTTCCCCCCCAAACAAAAAAGAAAGCAGTGCTTTGCCTGGAAATGACTCACCACAGTGCACTCACTGCAGGAAAACACTCAATACACATACATTTATTACACACACACTCACACATACACACATTTTTTTCCAGAACACGAAATATGAAGCATGCCAGAAAGGCAGGTGCCAGGTCTTCTGTCTGGGAAGAAGCCCCCACCCATCAATTAGATTCAGCCTCTTCCCTAGCACGCATGAGGCTTCTGGTGCACGTGGCAGCAAGGAGGTGGGACCAGTGCCTGCATCCGCACTCCCTCCAATAACACCAGCCATAATAATAACCCCCAGCACCACCAGAATGACAAGCATCACCAGCATGACAGTATTCTCCACCCGCATTTCAGTTCCCAGCCTGAGCCTTCCAGTGCCAAAGGAGGAGCTGAATTGGGAAGCAGGGGATCTGAGCACCCTAGCAAAAGAAATTCTGGGGACTGAGGAGGAATCTGAGTTTGTGTTCCACTCCCCTCCAAGTTCCCCTAGAGCCCGGTCTCCTTCCCCAGAAGGCAGTTTGGAGGAGGTTGAGGTTGTAGAGGCAAATGGTTCAGCTGAGTCAGCTGGTCCTGTTGTTGTGCCTCTGCCTGCTGAGGAGGGGGATCAGGCAGGATCTGCACCCTCACCCCAGAAGCAAGGGGGTAGTGTAGTGTGGGATCATTTTGAGGTGGTAGATGATCCCAGGTATGCTATCTGCCTGCACTGCCAATGTAAGACCAGCCAGGGCAAGGAGGAGAAATAAGAAGGCAATTGTTTACAGTGAGGGTGGCCAAAATCTGGAACCAACTTCCCAGGGAAGTGGTCCTCGCCCCTACCTTGGGCAAATTCAAGAGGAGGTTGGATGATCACCTGTCTGGGGTCTTGTGAACCCAGCATTCATTCCTGCCTGTGGCATGGGGTCAGGCTAGATGATCTGTTCAGGTCCCTCCTGACCCTAGCTACTATGAAACTATGAAACTATCAGAATAACCCTAAGAACCTTGTCTGGGCTATGTCCTTAGACCAATACAGCTATAACCTACACTCCCTAACATACACAAGTGACATAAGTTTTGTTTTCAGCAGTTTGAGGTGCAGCTTTACAGAAATCCCTGCATCACTCTGCCTGAAACCTGGCAGGCCTCCCTCATGCCTGCATGAGGGACAATTAATGTGGCAGGACAGGTGCTAATGAGGTGATCACTTAATGCCCCACTCTCAGCTGGAGGCAGTAGTTTAGTTTCTCACCAGCCAGCAGGGGAAGAACATGTCCCTGCTGAGCTCCTGTGCTAGTAAGAACTTGGAGGTATAAGGGCTGGGTCTATAGGGGGAGGAGGAGGGCCCACATCATCCTGGGCATGACCTAAAACTGCACCCTGCCAGGGTAGGGAGGCCTGGGTGGGACAGCCAGTGGCACAGCAGCCCCAGGAAATGCCAGGACCATGAACCTCCTTGGTGAAAGGTGGGTAGGAGTAGGAGGCACCTAATAACCTCCAGCCACCTCACCGTCCTGGCTGGGGAAAGCCCAGACCTGTCAGATCTTTGAGAGGCCTGAGGCTTATTGGTTGCAGTGAAGTTATGAGGGTGAGAACAGGGGCTGCCATGCCTGCAGTTTTAATCCTGTTGTGCCTTAACACACACACAAAGTCACACGTCACAAGTTTTGCTTGTCAGCAGCTGTTTCCGAGAAGCCCCTACACCTATCTCCTTGAAACCTGGGAGCCTTCATGGCCTCAGAAGGGGCTACCATTCCTGCAGTTTTCATCCCGCTGCTCCTTAACACACACACACAGTCACAAATGTCATGAGTTTGACTTGTCAGCACCTTGAGGTACACTTTCCCAGAAACCCCTGTGCCTCTCTCCTTGAAACCTGGCATACTTCATGGCCTCAGAAGGAGCTACCAGCCCTGAAGGTTTCATCTGAGTCAGGCAAGAAATGACAAAGTTATAGGCAGTTTTGTAATTCCCCGTTATACCCCATGACCGAAACACTGTTGAAATTTTAAAAGTTTCAGCCAAAATGAAATGGGACAGTGATTCAAAACACCAAAATGAAACCCTGTCCCTCTGAAATGCAAAATTGGAAACCAAAATGAAACACAGGTGTTTTGCCCAGCCCTAGTGATCACTACAAGCAAGTGCAAGGTAATGCACATCAGGAATAATAACCTCATCTATATTACAAAATGCTGAACTAACTGTCACTACTCAGGAAAGAGACCCTAGAGTCATTCTAGGTAGTTCTCTGAAAACCTCAGCTCAATGTGCAACAGCAGCCAGTAAAATGTTGGGTATCATTTTTGACACTGGTGTCAGAAGCGGACTGGCCAAGTTCGCCAATGACACCAAACTCTGGGGTAAAGCATCCACACCAGAAGACAGGCGGGCCATCCAGGCTGACCTAGACAGGCTCAGCAAATGGGCGGATGAGAACCTGATGGCGTTTAATGCTGAAAAATGCAAGATTCTCCACCTTGGGAGGAAAAACCTGCAGCATGCTTACAGACTTGGCAGTGCTACACTGGTTAGCGCTACAGATGAAAGGAGCTGGGGGGTCAAGAGTGACCACAAGATGAACATGAGCCTTCAGTGTAATGCTGCAGCTCATAAAGCGAGCAAAATGCTGGCTTACATCCATAGATGCTTCTTAAGCAAATCCCAGGACGTCATTCTCCCATTGTACTCGGCCTTAGCGAGGCCACAGCTGGAGTACTGCATCCAGTTTTGGGCTCCACAATTGAAAAAGGATGTGGAGAAGCTTGAGAGAGTGCAGAGGAGAGTCACATGCATGATCAGAGGTCAGGAAAACAGACCTTATGACGAGAGGCTGAGATCCATGGGAATCTTCAGCCTGGAAAAGCACAGGCTCAGGGGTGATCTGGCAGCCACCTATAAGTTTATCAGGGTTGTTCACCAGGATCTGGGAGAACATCTGTTCACCAGAGCACCCCAAGGGATGACAAGATCAAACGGTCATAAACTACTACAAGACCAATTCAGGCTGCACATAAGGAAGAACTTCTTTATTGTCCAACCCCCTAAGGTCTGGAATAGACTGCCACCAGAGGTGGTTCAAGCACCCACTTCAAACGCCTTCAAGAGACATTTGGATGTTTATCTTGCTGGGATCCTATGATCCCTGCTGACTTCCTGCCTGTGGAGCAGGGGGCTGAACTCGATGATCCCCCGGGGTCCCTTCGAGCCCAAGTTTCTATGAAATCTATAAAATCATTAAGAAGGGAACTAAAAACAAAACAGAGATCATCAACTTCCCATTATATATATCCTTGGTGTACCCACATCTTGAATACTGTGTTCTGGCATCTCAAAAAGGATTAGAATTAGAAAAGGTACAAGAGAAGGGCAACCAAAATGACCAGGGGTATGAAGCAGTTGCCCTACAAGGCAAGACTAAAATGGCTAGGGCTCTCCAGTCTGGAAAGGACTCCCCCACCCCATTCTGCATTGGAAAGGGCTTATGCCTCGTTTGCCCACCCATCACTGTTCATCTGAGTACTCTGAATAAACCATAACTCCTTTCCCTGAATTTACTTGCAAAGTAGTGAAGTTATTTCTGTCTTATCTAACATTGTGGGTTTGTTGTACAGTAAATAGAGAACATTGTCATTGGGCAGTTTCATTTGACAATATACCTGTCTTTAATAATGGTATATGCATGTCTTAAAAGATGTATGGAATATTTACACCTTTAATGTAACACCTTTTTAGTCTAAATTTCCATGTCCCTAAATTGAAAAGTACACTTTAAAAATTAAAGGAAGTTCATTGTCTATCTCTGGTAATGTTGAGTCATCTATAAAAAAATGTGTTTTTACTCTTGATACTGCTTAAAAATATATATTTTTACATAAAAAAGAGTTGGCTACAATGTAATATCATCAAATATTTCTAACATAATTAGACAGAGGTGAAAAAGAAAATAAAATTGAAACTCTGATTTTAAAGCTTGATGCATTGGGCTTAAAAACTACAGCATTGACAAGGCAATAAGTCTGGCAGTAGGAGGAGGAAAGACTCCAGACAGTCGTATACTTTTTCCACTTACTACCCACCACACATTGTGATTGTGCCTTATTTGAGCAGGTCACTTAGAAGGCAAAGCAAATTCTCAAGTATACTTCATCATTTCTTTCATTGAATAATTCTGTTATGTTTCAGTTTCCTCACACATCATTAATATCTAAACTGGCAAAAACAACAGTCAAGAATGTAATTATTCAAGAAAGTTTTTCATGATCAAGTGAAAGATATAGCATGATCTAAACAATTAGTTTTCTAAATATGAGCATTTATATCAGGAATCCATAAAAGCAACATAAGCATTGATATTTTGCTGTTTAATTATTCTGAAGACTGAATAAACTTCCTTAGATCCTGAATTGTTTAAAAACTAAATCAGTTATGTAGTCTTTGTTGATGTTTTGAGTCCCCATAAAGTAATCCTGCTGGGTATTGCATAGTAATGTCCTCAGGCAGTATTAACTATTTTTTTAGAGACAGGCCCATTACTTTAAACCAGAGGCAGGCAATTATTTTGGGCAGAAGGCCACTTACCCAGTTTTGGCAGGCTGTCAAGGGCTGCATGGGTAGCCCCGCCCCTTGACAGGAGCCCCGCTCCCTGGTCACCATCTTGGGACCAATGTCCCAGGGCCAGCACCAGTGGGGCCCAAAGTGGGGCACAGGCTGGCAGGGGTCTGTGGAACTGGGCTGAGCTGCTCCAGCAGGGAGAGGGGGGACCTGACCCAGCTCCATAGAGCCCCTGCAACCTGGGACACCGCACTCCTGCCACCCTGCTCTGGGGCCCACTGGCACTGACCCTGGGGCACCGGTGTGGGCCCTGTGCTCCCACTGGCTCCCCACCCACTCACAGCCAGTGCCCCCCAGCCCCGCGGTACAGGCGGGGGGCAGCGCACAGCTCCAACCCCCTGCTCACTGGCAGGGAAGAAGCTGGTGCTAAGCACAAGGAAAAGCCGCCCCTCACCCACCCCATGGCTGGCACTCCCTGCTGCAGGCACTCGCAGCCCACATGGGACTGTCTGAAGCAGGCACAGGCAGTCCCAGGTGTGCTATGAGCAGCTGCAGTGCAGGGCACCAGCCACACGGCAAGTGACAGGAACCAAGGGCAGAGAAATATTAATTTTCTACATTTTTTAGAGGCTCCATGGGCTGGATAGAATGGCCTCACAGGTCACATCCGGTCCGTGGGCCATATTTTGCCCACCCCTGCTTTAACAGTGTTAGTTTGAGGGTGGTTGTTTAACAAAACTCCATGACCCCTAGAGAAGTCCCTCTGGTCCACTGGTAAATGGCATGCCTAAAACACAGATTGCACAGATAAATATACTGGTGTCAAAACTTTCCAAAATATACATAAGAGAAATTAGCTATACTTTTTAAAAATGTTTATTCAGATATACAAGCCATTCTTTTTTAAAAACCACAATAGCTTCTCACAATACTGATTTCTGGTGCTGTTATCTCAATGCATCTTCAAACATGCTCTCTGAAGCTATACTATGAAAAAAAAATACCCACTACCATTTTTTCTCCATTTCCTGATCTTATTTATAATAAAAGACCCTTGTCTTTTGAAACAGACTGATCTTTTTATTCATGCTTGTTTCTTAAATGCTGCCTCATAGTTGTAAGAGCCACTTTAAGTGAAAACTCTAACTAGGAATAGTACCAGTGTCTGCATTTTAAAGATTGATAAACACTTTTTGGTAAAATGAGCTTAAAAAATAAAGAGGCAGCATTTAAGACCATGTTCTATCTCACATTTCATTTGTCATCGTGTGTGACAGGCACTTCATATCTTACTAGTTTTGATAGCTTTTTGTTATTTATGTCATTCTGTTTTTCCTCATTATGTGTGAAGAAGCATAGTGATGGCTAGGTAGTTCTGTAAAGTGATCTCCACAGTTTTCTCTGCCTGCATTGTTAGCTGATTTACTTTATTATTCTAAATATTGAACCACAGAAGGTCCCTATTATTTTTAATTCTTTTGTTTTTAAAGACCTCTTGGATAGTGAATCTTTCCTAAACTGAGATTCAGACATGTTGAGTAATCTGAATACTATGTTTTTTACAACTGAATGTGTTCAGAGAAAGATTCTAGAGAGACAGCATACCTCTCAGGATCTCATGCACAACCAGCTTGTCCGACTCTAAAATGCAGGTGAAGTAAATGACACCCACAATTATCTTCACCTATAAACCCAGGGGGTCTCCTTAAGACAGGGTTGAGAATATGATTTATAGACTCTTTATATTCTTATCATGCCTTTTGCACCTCATAAACAACATATCATAGAAGATGGCTAACATGCACTTAAAGTTATGATTTCAGAATATGCATGTTAAAATATTGCCCATAACAACAAGGCAAAAAATATTTCAGTTTAAGTTTTAGGCAAACTTTGAGGCCTCTTTTCTCAGTAACTGAACGGCACGTGATTTCTCAGTCTTACTCTTTCCTTAAATGCAAAACAAAAAGAACCCACCGTGTACTAACAATTCTCAAAGGTCACAGTGGACTTGATAGTAGCTGTAGCAAACTACTTCAGGATATTTTTTTAAAGGCACTTTTTTCAGACATCTGAATATATAAGTCCTTTTCTTGTACAGGACAAACATTTGCTGACCCCGCAGTTCTTGAAGTTTGAACACCCATTTTATGATGCTTAAATGTTTCTAACATTTTTCTCTGGTTTATTTTATTAAATAATGGTACGTGTACAAGTTCTCATGTAGTATGATAGGCTACATGGGTTGTGGGCTGCAACTGGAGGGAAAGTCCCAAGCAATTAAATAAACTGCTCGAACCTACTCCAGCTCTGTGAGTGACTCCCTCACTACCCCAAAAAGCAGTTTCCAGCCTTCACCTCTCCATCTCTCTGTGAGATAATTCTTTCTCAGACCACCTGTATTTTTCCCTTGCCTCTGTTCCCCAGCAGTCTGTGCAACAAGGCAGGCAATTGCTCAATTTCACCACACTGTTCGGTTCACAAGTGCTGTTGACTGCCAACCGTAGCTCACCATCTTTTTTTTTTTCATATACTATACAACCAAACTCATGCACCCACTTGGAAAAAAATTGCCAGCTTCCTTAGATTTAATGATAAGAAGCTACCTTTTTTTTTTTCTTACAGATTCATAGAATTGACAAAACTAATTCACTGGCATTGGAGTCTCGTATGGACTGCTGAAGTTGAAAGACTGTCATAAAGGAATTAGTGTATGCATTAAGTATTTCCTGTTTTGCGTTTCTTATTTTCCAAAACATTTAGTCTGACGTGTCTTCTTGCTATAGGTAGAGTGCAGCTCAACAGAAAGTGTATTATATTTTAGGTTGCAATAAATTCATGAAGTGTTAAGTCTTTGATTCAAAGAAAAGAGAAAAAAGGCAATAGAAGAGTGAACAAAGAATAGACAGTTGCCTTTTCTCTGGAAAGTATGTCTTATATACAAGTAACTCTAGATAATCAGTCTCCTCTGAAGTATCAGTAATCCTTCTTCCTTTAGCATCAGAACAGGAAGCTTGAAGCAAAGATAAACTCTGAGCAGCAGGAATAGCGGTTGCAATGTATTAAGCAAAACTGCTAACAACCATTCCTTTTTGAAGAGAGGAAAAAGTGATTCTGCAATGTCACTGACCACATGCTCTGCACAAAAAGGAGTTACCCTTTGCCAGTGAGTAAGTTCTGAAAGGCTCTACAATTCATGTCCCATGTTTGAACACCATTTGCATTGTCTCAGGGATATTTGCTGCACCTTCTTTCTGTGTCCCATGTTCTGCTCTTGCATGTTGATTTCTGTTGCTAACACGTGAGCACCCAACATATCTGCACCTGAGAGAACAGTGTCCACCTTCTCTAACTGATACAATACAACAGAGGACCAGCCTGCTTCTCCAGGTCAGTCCCTAATTAGACTGCAAGTCAATAGAAACTATATCTGCTACAACTCTATTTATAAAGCCAGGGAAATAGTTTAGTGCAAATGAGCCAGCTGCTGCAGCATGCAACAATCTTGAAATACCTATAAGCAAGTCTGGGGGTTTGTAAAAATAATGTTCCAGTAGGATGAAATGAAACCTCCTGTGTGGCTGATAGTTTTGACAGAGATCTGTAGTTTCCACCTCAGCCTTTTCTTCCTGCTCCTTCATTTGGCTCTCTTGTTTTTTTTCCCTTTTAAGTAGAAGCCTCCTGAGTTAGTGTGACTCTCTAGTTGTCATGGCTGCAGAGGAAAACTTACATGTGACCTCTAAAAGATCGGTTTGTGCAGGACCACACGGTCCTTGTCCCGGCACAGGGTGCAGCTGCGCACTAGCACAGCGCCCTGCCGGGTGGGGGAGGGGGAGGGGCAGCTGCCCGCAGACACTGAAGATTCTGGAAGAACCGGTGGGGGCGGGGACTGCTCCACAGAGCGCTCAGCTCCCAGGCTGTTCTCCTCTGAGCTGGGAGAAAGGCATGGCACTTCCTGGTCCTGGTGGGAGTAGGTTTCTGTCTTGCTGTGTGGAAGGGCCAAGTTCCTGCGCCTCCCACCCTGACTCTCCGTGTGTGTGTGTGTGTGCGTGCGTGTGTGTGTGTGTGTGTGTGTGTGTGTTCAGAGACTCACTGCTGGTCTCCACAGGGGCCCTTGCAAGTTTTTTTTTTAATTTTATTATAAATATCCTCATAAAAACAAAACATTAAAAGCAAGATTATCACTGTATATAATTTCCCATAATGCAAAAGAAACAGTACCTCTATTTACGACTCATCCCCCTAACAAAAAATCTTGCTTCCATATATAGCCCGCCCTGAACATAACTGTTTCCAACACATCCCCCTAACCAATTTAAAAAGCATGTCTCTCTCTTCCCCATATTACACATTGAACCTAGAATTGTTTTCCTCACTTTCTGCCCCCAGACAATTTTAAAACAAGATTTTCCATATCCAACGTATAACTTTTACCTGACTCCCTTGTTTCTGATGCAATCCCCCTTCCCCACACTTCCACTTGAAATATACAAGCAACTGCATATATTCATTCATCAAAAAGAAAACATAATTTCTATCTTACATATTTTTGTGGATCCACTCTTAACACTGGGTTCATCATTATAAATTAATAAGGCCACTCCCAACTATACTAAACCAGGATAAACCATAATAACCAGAAATAAAACTAAAACTATACACCTTTCCATTGGTCCTTGTCCCATCTCCCATCAATCACACACCAATTCCCCCTTGACATAAACACCCCCTTTCCCTAAAGCCTCTTCCCTTAATCTATAACATACTCCTTACCCAACACTCCCTCTGTCCCTCACCCACTGCACTCCCCACTGCCCTGCCTTATAACACCTAACAACACATCTCACATTTGTCCCTTCCCATCACACCCCACTTTTGTAAACATATGTCTCCACTCCTCTTTTCTCCACCCTTCTTTAATCTCCCTCTCCCCGCCCTTGCGCTCCTTTTCTCATGTAGTATCATAGTTGAAACAGAGCAAACTGCAGACATTCTCTAACTATGATTTCCAGTACCCTGCATTGCTGTGTCCAGTTTCCATGAAGACCCCGGCAGCAGTGGGACCATGACAGTGTGGGGTCAGGGTTTCCATGGAGACTGACCCCAACAGCACTGGCAGGGCATCCGACTGGGCAGGGAGCTGCTCCACAGCCAGGGGTGGGATCTTGCAGTGGTGACAGCATGGTCTGCAACCAAGGCACAGCCATGATCTGTTGCCTGCACGCCCCTGCTTGGGGTATGCGGGCAGCAGATTGCAGCTGTACCCCAGCTCTGGACCATGATGTCACCACCACAGGATCCCAGCCCCAGAGGAGCTTCCTGCCCAGCTACATGCCCTGCCACTGCTGTCAGGCCTGGTCTTCATGGAAATTCTGGCCCCACACTGTCGTGGCCCCACCACTGCTGGGGTCTTCATGGAAACTGGATGCAGTAATGTGGGCAGGCGCTGCTGGGAAACGGAGTCCGCTGTAGGCCCAATCCAGCCTGTGAACCACACTTCACTTCCCCTGCCCTAGCACCTCCATATGTACCAGGGAAAGGTTCACTCCCTCCACAGAAGCCCTACACACCAGTGAATGTGAAAACGACTGCGCTTCTTACCAATGTGGGACAAAGCTATTGCCTATATAAAGCAGCATCAATGACATCCCATGCACCCTTCCGCATCCCCTCTGACAATGTCTGGCATTGAGCACCTCAGCAACAGTGCTGAGATGCTCACATTTATGTCAGGGACTCCCTTCTTCAGGACAGTTCATGTTCATATCCTCTCCTCAGCAAATATTACAGTATCACACTACTGTCTGGTTCTGCAAACATTTTTTCAAAAGTTGGGGAGGGAGTGGGGATAGGACAATTTCTTTATACTGCCCTGCTGAGATGAAACTCTTTCACTGAATCCTTTCGCTGGAATTCTTAGAAGACGTATATAAGCACCTCATGAACACTAAAAGGGAGTCATTTATCCTCAACAGAATCACAGAATTTTGTTATTCATGGTGATGGTACAGGGAGAAGAGAGGGAATATGGTCTAGTGATAAGCAGGGATCCTGGTTACCTCTGATTTTAAAAAATCCCCAATTTCCGGTTTAAAAAAAGTAACCCCAAATTCACATTCAACTTTTTTACTTGATTTAAATGAATCACACTAATATATATATTATGGTGGCGGGGTGTATACACACACACCGATATATATATTAGTGTGATTCATTTAAATCAAGTAAAAAGGTTGAATTTAGGGTTACTTTTTTAAAAGTGGAAATTGGGGATTTTTTTAAATCAGAGAAAACCAGGATCCCTGGTGATAAGACCAGTGGAATGGGAATCAAAAGGTTTGCTTTTTATTTCCCACTTTACCACTGACTAGTTATATGATCTTGTACAACTTACATAACCCTGTTACATAAATGAAACTGTGCCTTATGTTCCACATCCACAAATTAGTGATAATATCCGTGTTTTCAATTAATTTTTTATAATCTTGGATTAAAATTCTCATATAAGTACAAAGTATTAGCATTTTATAATGTTGAATGAATAGAGGTCCAACCATTCAAAGCATTCAAATAGTTTTGCTCTTAAGGAAGTGGCTGAGATCTACTGCAAATATATCTTTTCAGTAGTTTATAGTTAAGACTTTAACTCCTAACAGGCTAAATGAATCAAATTAGCTAATAGAAATATGTAGCTTTATATAATACAAAATTAGTTAAACAGAAGTACAACTCTCCAGCAAAACCCTTTTAATATGAATGGCAAAAAAGGAAATATAAATTCTTAATCTTAAGTCCAAATCTTATTTTTGTTTATAATGTAAGGCTGGGTGAGTAGGTAACAAACTTTTTTCCCCCACATTTAGGATTTCCTTTAACCCCAAGTAATGACATGCATAGTGACAAACCCCAAACTGAAGGGCAGAGAGAGCTGGATGAAGCATCTGTGATAAAGGCATGTTCATTTTTATTCTTGCAACCACTAGCATATGTAGAAATAGAACTTTTCCAGATTAACTGCTGAAATCTGAGGTTTAGAATTTAAATTCAGATGTCATATATATAATTTTAGAGTTGACTAAAACATTTGATAAATACAAAATTTTGTGTGTGGTATTTGTGGAAACTAATCTTTCTCTTTCACTCATTCTGTTTTTAACAAAGCACAGTCCTTTGTAATATTACTGTGCTATACACAGAGAAAGTTTTAATTTACTGCTAGCTTTCAAAATGGTTATAGTCTCATTTCCCAATTTTTGTTTTAAAAAAAAATTAAAGGGGAAATAAATTCTGGTTACTATAAATAAGTAGTAGGATATTAGGCAAAAAATTATTATCTGTGAATGCATCTACACATGCAATTAGCATGTAGGAATAAGCTCCAGTGCAGTTTTCCTGAGACCGCAGCACATTTTGCTGAGGTGGAACAGCCCTGGCTGGCAGGGGACCTGCGGGGTCAGCCTGCCAGCATCTAACTGCTTTGGAGGGGCTGGCTGTGGCACAAGGGGGCTAGCTGTTAGGCAGCTCACACACTGTAGCACCCCCAGGCCACAGCCAGCCCCAGTCACCATCCACATGTGTGTTTCAGTGCATGTAACCACTCCACTATAGGATAGTACTTGTCCTGGACAGTACTATCCTGTGGCAAAGTGAATTAATTTACTACACCCTAATATAGGCACATGTGTAGACAGTAATGCTTTACTGTGGAACTAATTAGTCAGCTCTTTAGTAAAGCACACACATAGCTGCATCCTGTATGAAGCAAAGGGAATAGAAAACAGTTACTGTGTGGAAAAGAAAAAAATCCAAATTTTCAGTGTTTACAAAGTGGAAAAATCAAAATGTGTATATAAATCTAGGTTTTAAAAATACCATTTAAATTTTTTGAATGAAAAAATGTTGACCAACAGAACTATTAATACCTAAAAATCACACATGAATAATACCAATTCTATTTTCATTTGTATTTTCTTACAGAGATTTAAGAATGTTGCTGACCAAGATTTTAGCCTTGAAGCTGCAATTAAAAGCATTGAAAAAATGTCCTGTGAGCTGAAGAAGCTAAATGGTAATTCTGAGTTCATTGTAAAAAAAAAAAATAGGTTCATGCTGTTTTGTTGTAAAGTTATTTCTTCTTCCTAATAAAAAAAAATCCTGTTTAATGAAAAATTAAAGAAACAGTATTTATGATAGATAAAAATAGGGTCATATTGGCCAAACTTGGAAAGACCTGTTATAATTTCTCTACAAATATGTTTTTAGGCTAACAATTGAAGATTTGTATGGTAACACACTGGTACCAAACTTTATTTTCCTGCCTTGTAGCAAAGCTGCTATTTTTTCCAAGTTAGGTAACAATTGAATTATGTATATGTAAAAAATCTTTGCAGTAAATTGCTCATATAAAACCAATTCATACTTGAAGATTGACTTTTATCTTACAGTGGAAGCCCAGCTGTTACTCTGTGACCTGACTTTCAATTTCAGTCATCCTGTAAAGACAAAAGTATTAAGAGAAGTTGAGGAAAACAACACAGAGTTAGAATAAATCTATAATTCTGTCCACTTTCACGTATCTTCTTCCATTAACAGTTCTTCTATTTGAGCTCTTAAATTACAACCTGGTTTTCTGCTCTCTTTTTTTAATGAGTTAAAAAGTCATAATCTAAAGTAGAAAAGTAGAAGACCAAAATGCATGAATATCATACTGTTTTGAGACATTTTTACTGATAGACAGCTTTAATTAAAATAATAAAAAGATAAATAATTGGTTCATAGGTTTTGTATTTTCTTCATTGTAAATAAAGTAACTAAAAACTAAATGTGTCAGGACATTGTATATTGTGATAAAGCATTTCATATCTTATAAATGTTTTGAATCAGGCCTAAATAGGAAATGATCCAGATTCATAACTACCATCTAGTTCATTCTTTCCCAATTAGAAAATGGGAACTAGAACCAGGGGAATCCAAGTTGCACAGGTCTATAGAAGAGCACCTGCTGATTACCTGTGGCTGCCTACGCTGTCTGTCCTAGGAAGCAGGCAGGAAAGGGTTAAACTACCTGCCTGGCCACTTCTTTGGCAGCAGCTGCCACTCTCTGAGCCAGAAGAATGGACCCCAGCAGTACAGTTGAGGGACAAAAACTCTAAAGATAAAAGGAGGTCCTGATGTTTCTAGAATAGGGTACCTTGTACAGGGTACCTTGTACAGGTTATTGTGTATTGGTATTAAAGGACGCTATTAATTTTTGTTCAAAGGTTCCTGTAGATGTTAAGAGAAAGTCTATCTTTTTCTGACTTATGTCAAGGGTATATAGGAGATGACTGAACCCTGTGAGTTCATTTCTTTTTTAACAGAAGACCTGGTAGGGGCTGTTCTATGTTTGCTTTTGTTCTTATGTTCAGTCTGTTAATACATTTTGGAAGGGGTGTTTATTGGTTAGGCTCAAAAGCCTAGAACACTCTAATTCTTCAGCAGGGAAACTGACTCAGTGTTAGAGGCCCAATACCAGCTAAGGAGAGTCTGTTCTTGCTCTTTACAGAACTTGTTCTTTGAAGGGAAGGGTGGTAATATTTTAAATGGTATTAACACCCATTGTTGGAAGAATTAGGCTCATGGGGATAAAAAGTGTCTCTAAATCATGTAAAGGTGGGAAAAGCATGACACGGTAACACACAAGTCACACAGATCCAGATCATGATAGGGCTATCAACTACTGAAATTAACAGGAGTTAGGCACCCAGATACTCCATGAGGTTTTTACTATTATTATAAGTGTAAGTATATAATGCAGGTCTCTGTTGAAAATGGATTGTGAAGAATGAGATTTTTATTAAAAACTATTTAATTTATACAAGACGAGTCTAATGTATATCAATTTCCATAAAATACATGAAAGTAAACAATACAATCTTTCAGTAATAATAACAAGAAGTAAGAAACACTGACACTGTGCTGTACAGCTATTGCAGACTGCACAAACAAACCTGATTTCATTTGTAAGGTTAATGTAATGGGTACCATAAACCCAACATGAACCTACACATGTGGCACATATCATGTCACTGACATGAAAAATATAGTTTTCTTCCTAAGTTTTTGTTACAATGTAAATTGCATGAGATTCTGTAATTTGATGTGGAAACCATTTTATATCTACAACATGTTCACGTTGGGAGTAGCATCTGTCACATAAACATATGTGTGTATATGAACAGTGGGAAGTAATAAATAGGTTGTAGTAAAAAAGTACTTTGCAAATTGGTTTTAAAATATATCTTAAAATGAAAATCTTCTTTTTCATTAAATTGAAAGTAATTTTAATTATTTCTTCATCATTTCAGTTCATTGAATAGAAATTCTTGAGGTCTGCAGGTTCCTGTGGGCAGCTGATCCTGAACATGACTTTCATTAAACTTCCTTCTAAGCATGTCCTGCAGCATATGTTAACATGCATTGGTTTCTTGAACCTCTGTCTTTTCCATCAATCAGCAGAAGGGGTGTTTTTTGGAAGTATTGAATTATATCAGCTACAGAAGAAAAATCCTGAGGATTAAAAAACAAGAGGAAGGGGATGAAAAATGTTATCGAGATATTTACAACTGAGAAATCTAAACCAAAAGTAATTATTTAGACCAGTGGCTTTCAACCCACGGACCACAGGCCACATGCTACCCAATCAGCATGCTGCTGTGGCGAATGTGACTTCCTGTTAAACATTTTTAAATGGATACACAGGAAGTAAGTTGTGTGGGTACAGCCCATATAATACACTGAGAGCTGCAAGCGTGGCCCACTATGATGAATAGGTTGAGAACCACTGGTTTAGGCTGTGAATTCTTTCTTCTAAGTTTTACAAGTCACTTTGCTGAACCAGGCCACTACATCACCAGCACTGTTTCAGCTTTTTGCTTCTAGACATAGCTGTCCCATACCTGAAACCTCAGGGGAAACAGAACGCTTCTAACCAGTAACTATACCTAATCAGCTAAGTTGTAATAGGAATATATTGCCATCTGTTTATTTCTAGATTTTGGGTCACGCAGTTATACCAGCTTGTATCTGTATCTCTAAAGCAGAAACTAGAATGAGAGAGAACAGCTATGGGGAGAAGCTGCCTACCATTCTGAGATGATATAGACTGGAAGCTAGGTAAAGGGAATGCAGTGATGCCAAGAAACATACTATACCTCTCTTCCTTTCAATCCAGTTCCTAACATATAAATTTGCTCATGCTCCTGGTAACGAATCTGAATGTTGTACACTTTGCCTCTGTATAGTACCATTAGTACATATGGGTGTGTACTGTTTCTTCCAGAGCTGTCTCTCACCAAGAAAGTTCCATCCTAAAAAAATACACATGAAAAATATTTCTATTTTTGACCAACATAGAAGTTGCATATGCTTTCAAAAGGGTTTGCATGTTCAAATATACATTTTTGGAAAGAATAGTTTCAACTAGGGGTCTTGAGGAGTTTTTTTTAGATCACTTCTCTAAAGAACAAACAAAACTCTAACTAAGCCTTGCAATCTGATTTCTAGAAGGTCCCATGTCAAAAGCTAGGGAAGAATAATAGTAATGGTATGAGAGAATACCTGCTAGTAGGGGTGAGAGTATCATTTCAGTGACAAAAATAGAAAAACCTCAACTTGCTTCAGTTAGGCCAGGAGTTCACCCTTTATAGGCACAAGCCATTATTTTTTACTTGTGACCTATTTTGAAGTAGCATAAAAAATGTATTTTATTTTAATATTCACCTTTGTGGTGTGAATTTGATGATTTGTCCTCCAGCATATGGATGGAATCTTTTTCACATTAGAGCTGTGTAATGGGGCCCCTACACTTTTACTGAAGGGGAGAGGGAGGCAAAGGCCAGCTGACTGGTCCCAGCCCCTTAGATAATGGCAAAGGGCCCGTGAACAAAATGGCCACCATCCTAGGTGCAGGCAGTGACTGATAGGCCTGGGGCAGAAGTGGAGAGTTAGGTGACCCAGGGAAGAGCAGCTAAGTCCAAGGCCTGAGCCAAAGAAGGCAGTCTGGCCATATGGGCTGCAGAAGGCAGAGCTCCAGGAAAGAGTCAGGCTGGGGCTGCTCATGGAGGAAGGACTCCAGACTGCAGAGGAGCCAGGCAGAAACTCTGCACCACCAGGCAACAAGATTTAAGCCTGTGTTGTAGTGTTACCACAATTTGTGATTAACCCTGGGAGGGAAGCCTTTTATTTTGGAAGCAGACACTAATTTTTTTTTCCTATTTGCATTTAAACCTGAGGACCTGATGTGGCTGTAAGGGGCAAATTGGAGGTCACAGGAGTACTGCAGGGACACCCAGCTCATAGCCCTTTCGTGGTCTGGGACACAGTGGTCTGCATTTGGGCAGAAGCTCAATCACTTAAGGAGTACAGCTGTTTGTCGGAAGACTATAATATTTGGCAGCAAGGACTGGAGTGCAAACTCAGAACCTGCAAGGCAATTCTAGTGGCTGATGCGCCCAGAGCCTGCATGGGGTTAAATTAGGGGCTGAGGAGCCCAGAGCCCACAAGGGTGAGACCAAGGGCCAAGGAGCATAGAATCCACAAAGGTGTAATTGTAGCTGAAGGGCCCAGAGTGTGCATGGGGCAAGACCACTGGATGAGGGGCCCAGAACCCATGAGGGGTGAGATTGGAGGTGGGGGCTGGGAACCTAGGGCATGGCAGGTGAGATAACAGGGCAGAACCTTAAGAGGGAAGAAAGGACATCTGGGTGGGGATCCACATGGCAGTAGGGAGGGGCAACATTACTGCAACAGCACTGGGTGCACTACAAGTTGTTTGAGCCAGAGTATCCTCTTCATGTTTCCCTTGTGTCAACAATGGTCATTAAATAAGAACTCAAAGTCTCCTTTATAGTCATAGGCTACCTCTCCAGCCACCTGATGAAGTTCCATGCTTGTCTTTGTGGTATGTGTATGGGGGATAAATGTATTCCCTTATGGGGGAAAGGGCCATTTTAGGGACATGTACAGAGATGCTGCTCCAGTATGGTGTAATTCCAGTGTGTTGGAGCAGACTCAATTATTGCTGGAGCATGGAAATTAGCCCTGCTCCAGCATGTATCAGTGTCCCTGCACCGAAAAATGGCAGCAGGGCACTTTAAACTAAAGCTTGTTTGATGAGTGCCCCACTGCCATTTTTCAGGGTGGAGATGCTGAAATACATGATGCTCCAGGCACTTTTAATTAGTGTGGTTCTTGGAGCAGTGCTAATTAAAGTGCCTCTCCCGCTATCCCAGAGCAAGTGTATAAATGCCTAATAAGTAAAACAGAATTTGGACCTAAATTATCTGAAAAGGAGCTCAAGATTTGTTACAATGTACCAAAAATATCATCCCAGCATGTAGGTGATAATCAGCATCTTAGTGGGTAGATAATGTACTAATACATTACACTCACATTATTTTCTTTTTCTGCTGCAAATCTGCCCTTTTGTCTAAATGTAAAAATAGAGGATCAAAGGACAGGGTGTTGTGATGACATATTCATTTATGCAGTTTTCATATATACTATCAGTAGCCTGAAGAAAATCTGGGTATGATCCCCTTGCATTCAGGGTCATAAAACTTTGCCCTTTAAACAAGTGTTAAAGTGTGTCCATTTTTGTTTATGGATACCTTGTTTATCCTTCGAAGAGCTCCTTCTGCTTCTGCTCGGCTGATGTAAGCAACATACCATTCTTCATTCAGCAAGTCCTAAATATTTTGGAGATGCAGGGGAGTACAGCAGAGTACAAAAAGTTGCTCATCAGTGAATTAATTTATGTGAGGTCATAAATTTATACAAATAAGCAGACAAGAACATTCATAGAATAAAGAAAAATTCTGGATGTATTGAATATCTAAATGTTTAAGATACAAGGATAATAATATTGCAACATTCTTGGGTTTTAAACTCACTGATCACTTCAACACCCACACTCCACAAGGTGTTTGCATACCCTGACACATTGCTGGCATGGAAACTAGGGAAATACCATGAGCTCTAAAATGTCTTTTGTTGAATACTATATTTCTGTAACATTTGTTGTCTATATGCCAACCAGGCAAAAGTTTTTCCATTTTCTACCAGCAGTTTAAACTAGAGCTGTAACTTAATGTGAATCTCCTATCCTAAAGGTAGTCACACAGACTTATTCTAAGTGAGCTGTCAAAAATAATAAAAAATTGATTGCTAAAGGCAGGTAATTTTCAAAGAACTGTAGAGCATAATTATGCTCAGAGAGAATGATTATTCTTCTCTTGGCTTTACATTCCTTTTTTGTTAAAGGATAACTAAGTCCAAAGGATTTAAGAATACTTAGGGCAACTTTGCAAAACAGGAAGCAATCTATCTCTGTATATTTTCCTGTTCTTTTCTATGCATTAAGAAAGCAAAAACATTTTGACATTGTAAGAGAAACTGAAAGTAAATTCCATGGTGTATACCATCAAATTATTTCTGAAAACTAATTTAGAAAAAAGGGTGTCTTACAAAATTAGTTCTTTTGCTGTGCAAAACAATTAGGATTAATATTTATGACATTCTATACCTCATTTTCCTCTGTGTTCTGGGACCGGGCCATCTGTCTGTTGGGAACGGGTAATGGGGGTCTGCTATCTGCTGTGCCTCGTGAAGGAGATCTGTTGATATGACCTTTAAAAATCCATAATAGATTACAAGAAATCTTAAAAAAGAAACAAAGATTTATGAAGTAGATACTAGAACACAGAGTAATTGTCTACACCACTTTGAAATGTAAAGGAGCCTGAAAAAGGGCAAAATTTATAATCTTGCTTAGTGTTTGAGAATCTGGTATAGGTATCTTTAAAGTAACAAATTGTTCTTGCTCAGCATGGCTGCCACTCTCCCAGACCTCAGTGGGACTCCAGTATCTCAAAGACTATTGCCAAACTAGAAGTTATGGTTCTTTAGGGTATGTACAGCCATCGTTTAACCATTAGAGTATCTCAAGTTACAGATAATTTTAATATTTACAAACCACAGTGTTGCACTTCCACAGTTTATAAAATGACTTTATGATTTGGGATTTGCACTTTTTTGCTGCCTTGTTAAGCAAGACATTTTTAATTTTCAGCTTTGCTTTATTTTTAACTTGCACTGTTTTAAAAAACAACCATGTTATTAACAACATAAGAACATAAGAAATGCCATACTGGGGTAGACCAGTCCATCTAACTTAGTATCCTATCTTTGGTATTGGCAAGTAATAGATGCCTTAGAAGGAGAGACTATGTATGGGGCATGTCTAGTGTAATCTATGCTCTGTCATACCCTCCCTGACATCAGACATAAAGAATATAGTAGTAGCAACAATAATAAGTCTGCATATGCCAAAAATAAATTTAGAGTTTGCTACTGTACAATTTTAATTTTAACTGAGGAAAATGTTTCTCCTTGGAAAATTTTCCTCCTCCTGTCCCAACAAATATGTTAGTACAGTATCGGAAACATCCAATATTGTTCTTAACAAAATGTAATATAATCCTATGGGGCCTTCAGAATAAATGTGAAATAGGGAGTTACAACAGGGTGGGCGGTTCCTTTAAGGAGGAACAGGCAGACTTGTCAAGAGAACTTAGCTGTGGGGCATTTGATTAAGGGAGTGTCCCATTGGAAGCTTTAGGAGCTCCCAGAAGAGAAAGGAAGGATACAAACTGCAAAGGAAACAGCTTGTTGCAAGCAGCAGCCAGAGCAGAAAGGGACTTTTCTTTTAGGGCATTTTTACATGTGCTCTGGGACACAGCTCTGGGCACTTTAATTAGCAAGCCGCACTAATTAAAAGCTCCTGTACATCAGGTCTATCAGTGTTCCCATGTGTCCCCACATTGAAAAAATGGCAGAGGCGTGCTTTGAACTAAAGTTCATTTAACATGTTTTATTTCAAAGTGCCTGGCCACCATTTTTTTCAGCGTGGAGATGCACAGGGACACTGATACATGTGATGCGGAAGGCTGTTATAGTTTTCTTCTAGGTTTCTAGGGTCAGAAGGGATCTTCAAGTCTGACCCCCTGCCCTGGGCAGGAACGAGTGCTGGGATCATAATACCCCAGCCAGATATCTATCCAACCTCCTCTTGAAGAACCCCAAGGTAGGGGAGAGCACCACCTCCCTTGGGGGCCCATTCCAGAGCCTGGCAGCCCTAACCATGAAGTAATGCCTCCAGATATCAAACCTGAACCTGCTCTCAATCAATTTGTGGCTTTTATTCCTCGTTATCCCAGGTGGTACCCAGGGGAACAGAGCCTCACCTATTTTCCACTGGTCCCCCCTGGTGAGTTTATAGACGGCCACCAGATCCCCTCTTAGTCTTCTCTTGTGGAGGCTGAATAAATTTAGTCCCTTTAGTCTATCTTCGTAGGGCCTGGCCTGCTGCTCCCCAACCATGTCAGTGGCCCTCCCCTGGACCCTCTCAAGGTTAGCCACATCCCTCTTGAAGAGTGGTGCCTAGAACTGGATGCAGTACTCCAACTGCGGCCTGACCAGTGCTGCATAGAGGGGAAGGATCACCTCCCTGGACCTACTTGTGATGCATCTGTAGATGCACAACAAGGTGCAGTTAGCCTTACTGACTGCTTCCTTGCATTGGCAGCTCTTGTCCATGCTAGAGTGGGTTCATTTCCGTGCTCCAGCAGAATTGAGTCTGCTCTGACATGCTGTATTTCTGCATGCCTGTAGG